TTAGTCTCATTGAGCCTCAAGGACTCATTTACAAGAGAGACCTGTTTTTAACCAAGAATGATGACAACAGTAGACAATCATTTTAAAAAGCATATAAAATGAAAAATAAATGGAAGGAGGAAATGGAAAGAATGGAACATGGAATGGAAGAAACCGTATATGATTAGTGACCTTGGCCTTGAAGCTGGGATGATGAAAAGTGTATACGACACTCCCTCTACTGATGATGTGTATGAAGTAGAGCCCGACCGATGTATCAGTAGGGCCGATAATTTAGTCCAATATAGACAATTGAGGACATATAGGTATCGGTGATAATTGTCTCATTATGCGTAGATATAAACATTTCTCATTTTCACCCCAACATGCTGGAACCAGCTGCAATTGTTCAATGTACCCAGCAGAGGGAGCATGAAGATTACTTTCAAGTCATACCATATCATACCAATTTATTTATATAGCACTTAAAACAGCAACAAGGCCAACCAAAGTGCTCTACAAAAGAAACAAACATGCACAGCAGACAGGAAAACATAAAATAGAAATACAGATACAAATAGCAGCAGAAGCTAACTAAAATGGCCAACAGAGTAGAGAACAGACCGGACCAAAACAAATCACACCGTGTTAAAGGCAAGCAAATAGAAGTGGGTCTTCAAGCGAGACTTAAAGACAGAGTGTGGGAGCCTGCCGGACACTCAGTGGCAACTCATTCCACAGTCGTGGACCTGCGACAGAGAAAGCCCTGTCACCTCTGAGCTTACGACGGGTTTCTGGGACTGAGAGAAGCATCTGGTCTGCTGACCTCAGAGAGCGCGGTGGGACATATGGCTGCAGAAGATCAGTGAGATAGGATGGGGCGGAACTGTTCAGTGATTTAAAAACATACATGAGAATTTTGAAATGGATCCGAAGGTGAATGGGTAGCCAGTGCAGGGAGGCCAAAACTGGCGTGATGTGCTCTCTATAGCCTGTACCAGTTAAAAATCGGGCTGCAGCATTTTGGACCAGTTGTAGACGAGCAATGGAGGACTGACTGATTCCAAACAGAAGTGAATTGCAGTAATCAAGCCTAGATGTTATGAAGGCGTGGATCACCGTCTCAAGGTTCTTTTTGGAGAGTATAGGCTTCAGCTTAGACAGCCGTCTCAGCTGAAAAAAACAGGATTTGACCATCATGTTTATGTGACTGTTGAGTTTTAAGGATGGGTCCATTATCACCCCCAGATTAGTGACCTTTTGTTTCTCTAGCGGGGCTAGAGAGAAAAGGTCAATGTCATGGTTCACGAGTGAGCCACTGGGATGGAACAGCATGACTTCAGACTTCTTCTCATTGAAGCTTAAGAAGTTTAAAGCCATCCAGTCCCGGATGTCAGCCAGGCAGTCAAGAAGAGGCTGAATAGAGCGTGTGCCTCTGTGCCTCAGGGGGAAGTAAATTTGGCAATCATCGGCGTAGAAATGAAAGGGTATGTCATGTTTGCAGAAGATAGCACCTAGTGGCAGCAGGTATAAAGAAAAGAGAAGGGGACCGAGGATGGACCCCTGCGGTACCCCCCACTGGAGCGCTGTCGATGCCGAACTAAAATCTTTGATATTGACACAGAAGGTTCTGTCAGAGAGGTAGGACCCAAACCATTTAAGGGCTGACCCTGTGATGCCCACCCACTGCTCCAGTCTAGAAATGAGGATGTTGTGGTCGATGGTGTCAAAAGCAGATGTAAGGTCCAATAGGACAAGCAGCACAGAATCACCTGCGTCCGTGGATATGAAAATGTCATTAAAAACCTTCAGTAGAGCAGTTTCAGTGCTATGGAGAGATTTGAAGCCAGATTGGAATAACTCAAGGATAGCGTGATCCCCCAAAAACTGTTTCAACTGAGACTCCACAATTTTTTCCAGTAGTTTAGAGTTGAACGGGAGTCTGGAGACAGGCCGGAAGTTGGACATGACTGAGGGGTCAAGGTTAGGTTTTTTCAGGAGGGGCTGGACAGCAGCATGTTTAAAAGTCTTTGGCACTACACCTGAGGATAAATTGCTATTCAGAATAGCGAGGATAAAAGGACCCAGGGTAGGAAAAACTTCCTTTAGCAGTCGAGTGGGGACCACATCAAAGGGGGAACCAGATGGCTTCATGCTGCACATTACCTGCTCCAGAGAGGACAGAGAGATGGGCTCAAAGTGGTCAAACACAGCCACACACTGAGATGGGATGGACAGATCATGAGCTGGTGGAGAAATGAGTGCCCGGGTGTTTGCCACTTTTTCTAAAAAGAAATGGAGGAAGTTTTCACACAGCTCAGTTGAGGCTTCCAGAGGTGAAGGCTCACTGAGGTGTAGAACCGAGTTCAGGGTGGAGAAAAGAACTCGGGGGTTGTGGGAGTTGGAGACAATTAAATCAGAGAAGAATTTACATTTGGCAGCTTTAACGGTTTTCTGATAGTGACGCCAACTCTCCCTTAACATTTGAAAAGAAATTTGCAGCCTGTCCTTCCGCCACCTTCTTTCAGCTCTGCGACACTGCCGCCTAACGGCTCGCGTGACGTCATTCAGCCAGGGCTTTGATTTAAGTTTCGTTTTTCTGGTCTTAAGGGGAGCAACACGGTCCAGAACATTTAAACAGGCAGAGTTGAACTGAGAGGTTAGCTCCTCAGTGGTAAGAGACACCGAGAGCTGTTCGATCCTCTCAGAGTTAAAACCTTCATTAAAACGAGCAGCAGTGAAACGGTTAATGGAACGCGTACGTGCAGGAACGCACGTCTTAGCAGTATGACAAGGGGGGGTGAAGTCAAACAATACAGGCATGTGATCTGAAAAAACATTGTCACCGATTTTCAAATTAGAAACAGAGACATCGCGTGTTAAAACGAGGTCCAGCGTGTGACCATGTTCCTGGGTAGGACCGCTCACCTGCTGAGCTAAGCCAAAAGAGTCCAATAAATCTAGAAAGTCCTTCACTAAGGGCTTCTCCTGACAACACACATGCAAATTAAAGTCACCAATAAGCAAAAAGTGAATGTATCTTTGTGTGATATCAGCCAAAAAGTCAGAGAATTCATTTATGAAGTCCTTAGAACGAGGTGGACGGTAGACGAGCGCGCACAGAACCGTAGGAGTGTCCGAGTTCAAAAACGCTCAGCTCAAAGCTGGCGCGGGACACCGGGATGGACAACTGTTTACAGGCCAAGTTTGCTTTAAAAACTGTTAATAATCCGCCCCCCCCGCGCCGACCTGATGGCCGCGGGGCATTGAAACACACACAGTCCGGAGGTAGTAGTTCCGCCAAGGCGCTGGACTCACCATCAGAGATCCAAGATTCTGTGACGAACAGAAAATCCAACTCCTCATCATTAAAAAAGTCGTTGAGGATAAATGTCTTGTTGGAAACAGACCTTGCGTTGATTAAACACATCCTGATAGGGTCCAACACAGGCACAGCCGTGGATGGAGACGCACGCGCCAGCGGGCGCAGGTTATGAAGAACAGCTCCTCCTGGTCTGCTGGTGCAGCGCACAGGTAAACAACTCCAGGTGTTTCCATGGACTGAGCGCGCGGGTAGCTGGCCAGCAGCCGGGCCCCGGGAGCACCACGGGCAAGTAGGTATCTCTGCAGCCAAATTCGGAAGGCGTATCTGGGCGGTCATATCTGATTGGACTATAGGAAAATGGGCGTATCTGGGCGATCATATCTGATTGGACTATATGAAAATAGGCGTGTCTGGCCGGCCGCACCTGATTGGACGATAGAAAAATGGGCGTGTCTGGCCGGCCATATTTGATTGGACGATAGAAAAGTAGGCGTGTCTGGCCGGCCACATCTGATTGGACGATAGAAAAAAAGGCTGAACGATAAAATGCCGTAACCACAGACACATTATGTCTAAAAACAAGGCGTTATTGGCAGATTGTGTTAACCACAGGCATATTATGTCTATGGTGTTAACCGGTTCGACATTAGCGGCGTCTCAGATTCAACACTGGCGGCGTCTCGGTTCGACATTGCTCCAGTATACCGCTGCGGCGTCTCCATAACTTCTTTTTTTCGACTCTCTTAACACAGAACTTCCGGTTACATTTCAAAATAAGAGCAACATAACTGGGTAGTGGGGGAGCTAAATGTTAGTTGTTTTTTTAATACCTAGCCATAACATTAAAAAACAAATTCCATTTTGGTTGTTGAAAAATGTGAACAAAGTTACAATCGATTCATAAAGAAAGAAAAATATTAACGATACTTAAATGGCCTTGGGACAAAGGATGTTTCCTTTAACTTCACATTTTCTTGTTCAACCTGCAGTCACTACAGATGAGTGATTGTCAGTTTCTGTAAGATTTCTGCAACTGGAGCAGGTATTTCTGTTTACTGGTTAACTTCCTCAGCTGTCTCACATTTTAAAGGTCAACCCTACTCCATGTTTCAGTAGAAAACAAGCACATTTAGGAGTCAGTACATAACCAGACTTTTGGCCCTCACACCTATACCCAGTTGCTTATGCTGCATGATGAGATCAGATTTATCCATATTTTAGAAATTACATTTAGCTTAGTCGACAAAACAATACAAATGAAGACCGTCTTAAAAAAACCTCTTGGTTTTGCAGTAAGCAGCCTGATTTCAAACTGACATCTTGGCCAAAGGTAAAATAAAAATCTTTTGTGTTCTCAGAAAAGTTGTTTCAGGACCTCCAGTAAACTTATGTACACATCAAAGCACACAAGACATCCATCCATCCATCCATTATCTTTACCCGTTTATTCCATTTTGGGTCACGGGGGTCACTGGTGCCCATGTCCAGCAATCACTGTGCGAGGGGCGGGGTACACCCTGGACGGGTCACAAGTCCATCACAGGGCCACGTAGAGACAAACGAGACAAACAACCATTCATTCTCTCACTCACACCTAGGGGCAATTTAGAGTTACCAATCAGCCTAACATGCATGTTTTTGGTCTGTGGGAGGAAACCGGAGTACCCGGAGAAAACCCACGCATGCACGGAGAGAACATGCAAACTCCACCCAGAAAGGCCCCTGGACCAGGGTTTGAACCAAGGACCTGCTCACTGAGAGGCAGCAGCTCTACCAGTTGCGCCACCGTGCTGCCCGCACACAAGACAGATTCAGGAATTCTCGTTGTTTTCCAGATTTCACATTTGTTATTACCTTAAAACATACTCAGACAACATTTGATGCATCATTGAATTTTTTTTATTGTGTTTATTGGGACATCCATTTTTAGAAGTCATCATAGCATCTGTTGGAAACACAGAACATAGTACAGTTAGGGTGTTGCTAGTTGTTACTTAATCCTGGATTGGATTTTAAAGTTAATTTTGATATTTTTTTCACAAGGAAAAAAAAAGTTGATTTCCTAAAGTTTAACTATAAATGAAGGAATTTGTACATTCAGGTAATTTAAAATTAAGTAATTTCTCTAACATCCAACCCATTTTAGCCACTGAGCCATACCAAACACCCATAATCTATTCTTGAATGAATTATTGACTATTATTGACAAATTACAGACTTTTTATTGAATAAGTTATTACTCATTATTGAATCATTGACAATTTACACTCATGTTTGTGTTAACTCATGTTGCAACAAGGTCAGCAAATTTTGATTATTACTATGAACTATGTTAAACTTTGGAGGCGATTTATTTTGAAAGTCAACATCAGATGTTGGTCAACATTGTTGGGCAACATCTTGGGGTCTTCTAGAGTCAACCTGAAGTGAGAGTGGTCCCTGACATGGCAGAAAGACATAGATATAATTAACAGCTTTTATTTATTTATTTTTCAGCTAATAACTTTTATTTATTTGTTTTTCATATTTTTCAGTTATACTCAGCTTTTAAATATTTATTTTTCAAGTATTAAGAACTTTTATTTTCAGCTTTTATTTTGAAAAGCACCACCCAGTTGTTGTAAACGTGCACAGTGAGAGCTGCTGTGGAGGCTCACTTTACCTCAGTGCGTTACGACAACAACGAGAGAACGGTCGAAACTATCGTGACCTACAATAAACGTACTTCAATAAAATGCATAAGTGAAAACATAGCATACTTTATAAGTACAATAAACCATATTTCTTTGTCAAACATCGCAAAGAAACGTTACCTCATCAATAATCCTCGTGACTTTAAGGGTTACCCACAGCAAATCAGTGTTCGCCGCCGACAAACGCCTATTAAATTCTGTTAGCCAATCAGTGTTCGCCGCCCATAAACGCCTATTCGCCAGAAACGCCCACTTTTGGTCTGCAGAGAACCCCTTCTCACCACGGGTCAGAGAGGAGATGATCAGATCCAGAGCGAGTCCTGATAGAATAATCCACACTTTGCCTCAGTTTCACCAAAATCCCTGCACGCTTCCCACGACGTCTGTGACGTTTCCTCCATGGAGAAAGGCCAGGGTCACGCAGAAGGAACGCAGGAATCTCAGATAGGACCGGTGGGGGAGAGTGCTGGCCGCTGTTCAAAAACTCCGCGGGAATTTCAGCAAATGTACGGAGCTCCAAAAGTGCCCGACGATCATACTGAAAATATGACTCGGCACACTGCACAAACCATTGTAAAAATAACAAAAATAAAATACAAGCAGAGAGCGAGAGACGGGCAGCCCTACACACCGGCGCCATCTTGGAAACCAGAAAGTCATGGCCATTAGGTTTCACTTTAAACACAGCTGAAGCAGCGAGCAGTACTGTGTAGTTTATTTTACAGAACAGAGCATGGTAAAATTATTTTAACGGATCTGTAAAATAAAAATAAACAAATCAACAATAATAAATTTTCTTCAATCCTCCAACCTGCTTGTCATTAGCTACATGCCTCTCAAGTTAGCAAGTTTAATGTTTAGATAACCTAGCATAGGCTATTACCTTGTAAATCTTTATCCAGAACAATAAATCAAATGTAGAGGTAAAATATATATCAGTGTTAGTAATGTTATCTTTGTCATCCCCAATGAAATACATTGCTTGTCTGAAGTCTTTACTTCTCTGCAAAAAAAAAAAACTTTGCTGCTGTCAGTTCTAATTAGACCATCATACATGACCGACTGTTTAAACAATGAACACAGAAGATCAAAATCAGAATGCCTTTATTGTCATTACACGCAAGTACAATGAAATTAAAAGCCACTCCTTTTTTCAGTGCAAAAACATGCTTAAGAAAAACACACACTAAAAATATAAAAATGTAACACAATATAGATATAATAGCACTATGAAAGTAAAAAATACAAGTATTTCACAATTATATTGCACATTATGGATATTAGTGAGGTAGTTAAGGTGATCGAGAGTATGAAATGTCAGTAGTATTGTACAATAGAAGTCCAGGGGTTTGGGAGGTTAGATTATTATATTAGTGCATATGTGAGTTCAGTGTGGTAATGGCTTTCGGGAAAAAACTGTTCTTGAATCTGTTTGTTCTTTCTCTGATGCACCTGTAGCGCTTCCCTGCAGGTAACATGTCAAGCAGTTCAAAACCAGAGTGTGAACAGTCCTTGATTATGCTTTCTGCTCTGCTGAGGCAGCGTGATGTGTAAATGTCCATCAGTGAGGGGAGCGGGCAGCCAATTATCTTTTGTGCTGTCTTGACTACTCTCTGAAGCCTCTCCCTGTCAGCCAGGGTGCAGCTGCCGTACCATACTGAGATACAGTATGTCAGCAGGCTCTCGATGGACGAGCGGTAGAAGGTCAACAGCAATTTGGTGTTCAGGTTGTGCTTCTTAAGTACTCTTAAGAAGTATAGTCTCTGCTGAGCCTTCTTGATGACCGCTGTGGTGTTCTATTTCCAGTTAAGGTCAGCAGAGATATGGACACCGAGAAATCGGAAAGTGTGAACCCTCTTTGTTTGTTTAAT